TTATTTCCAGCAACAAAGCAAAAGTTACGGTCAAAATTTCGAGCAGAGAGCTAGGCAAGTAATTTAGGCGAGCAGAGCACTGTTCTAGGCGAACAAAATTTTTTTTTTTAAAACTTTGGGAGGCCAAAACACCTCTTTTTGAACGTTTTTTGAATTATTTTTGAAAAGATCATTACCATAGGTAATGAGTTTTGCTCAGTTCGTCGAGAGCTTCGATTTGATATATAATATGTCCCGTTTTAACTTACATAGCAAAATTTACGGCCAAAATAACGAGTAGATGTGTTGGGCGCGATTTTGGGCGAGCAAACACTGCTCTGAGCGACCATGCAGCTGGGCACACTGTTTGGGACGAGCAAAAGGCCTTGGGCGCCTTTTAGGCTACTGACTTGAGGAACTTGGGTGAGCAAGAGGCCTTGGGCGACCTGAAAAATTGTCTAATCGCCACTCCAGGTCGTCTTAAGGAGCAGCCTGCTCGCGTAGGAGGGGTGGTCTGGCGTGGAGATGGGAAGGTAGGCACCGAGAAGGGCCTGGGCGAGCAGGCGGCATCGCTGTGCGTTGCTACAGTTCGCGTAGTAGGTAAAAGGGTTATTCGAGTCTTCATGCATGCTGGCCTGCACGTTGGGTGTGCTGATCTGGTCCATCAGGCGCTTAGAGGAGCTGACCCTAGTGAACAGGGAGTTGGAAAGAAGACTGGTCTTGGCGTGAGGGCACCAAGAGGCGCCATTTTGGGCGAGCACAAATGGTTAGGCGTCTGCAGGACTACTTCGCTTGTACAAGCAGAGGGGGCCAAACACCTCTCTAGGCACTAGATAGCCCATTTGGGTGAATAGAGGGGGTCAAATGTCTCTTTAGGCACTGGGTTGAGTAGTGCAAGCTACAAGAAAATTTTGGGTACTACTTTTGGTGATGATTCGAGAAGTTTAGGTAGCCAAGGAGCTTTGGATACCCTTGTAGGGAGTTCAGTTCTTGCCCATGCAGATGGGGTTGCCCAGGAATTTCTTGGCGAGCTTGGTTCTGGAGCCCGGGGTAAAGTACACCAGACACTTTCAGCGATGATGGTCCAGCTCCTCTTAGTGCACCTTCTCAAAATCAAATTCTTCCATAATATTCTGAGGATTGTTTCTGCTTATCACATCCCCCAACGGTTCTATGTTGCCGAGCTGAGATGGGTGAGCTGAGATGAGTGAACTTACTGTTTGCGCGAGAGCAAGACAGAGTTTGAGGATTGCTCATGAGAGAGCTACATCTTTTGAAATCGAGTTTTTAGCGACCCATGAGAGAGTTTTTAAGCTTAAGGTATATGCTACTTGCTTGAGAGCAGAGCATATGCCAAGCTTTTTTGGCGACTCATGAGAGAGCCGGGAGATAGACTGCTTCTTTGAGAACAGTGTAGAGATCAAGCTTTTTTGGCGACTCGCGAGAGAGCCGCTAATTTGGAGATAGGCTACCTGTTTGAGAACAGTGCAGAGGTAGGCAAGCTTTTTGGCGATCCTTGAGAGAGTCGTTAAGCTGAAGATAAACTACTTGTTTAAAAACAGTGTAGAGGTAGGCCAAGCTTTTTGGCGACCCTCAAGAGAGCCGCTAAACTGGAGATAGACTACCTGTTTAAAAACAGTGTAGAGGTAGGCCAAGCTTTTTGGCGACCCTGGAGAGAACCGTTAAGCTGGAGATAAACTACTTGTTTAAGAATAGTGTAGAGGCAGGTCAAGTTTTTGGCGATCCGTGAGATAATTCACCTCGCTTAGACCTGTTGATTTTCTCAGCATTCATAAATTTTTGAACTTTTGCCGATAGTTTTGGCATGCTTGTTGGTGGGCGTTTGATTACGGAGAAAAGGAAGCTCGATGACCGAAGGCCTCCTAAGAAGGCGGTCATGCTGACTTTTTTATCGGGCTCTTCGACCTGAAGGACCTCCTCGTTAAAACGAGTGAGGTGGCTTCACAGGCTCTCATCTCGGTTATACTTTATGTTGAGCAGGTGGGTGACAGACTTTTGGTGACGGCGTCCTCCAATAAAGTGCAACACGAAGGACCTGCTCAGCTCAACAAATGAGCCGATGGAAGCGGGGGTGATCTTGGCGAACCACTATCAAGTAGATCCCTTTAAGGTGGTTGGAAATGCTCTGCACATGATTTTGTCATGCACGTTGTGCAGTTGCATCAAGGTTTTAAAAGTTTCAAGGTGGTCCAATGGATCCTTCGTACCATCAAAGATTTCGACGGATGACATCTTGAATTTTTGAGGGAGTGGTAGTTCGCCACGTCAGGTTTGAAAGGTGTGTTAGTTCGACTTACAAGGTAATCCACTATCTTGGATCCTCGTGTCTTCATGGCGTTGAAGACATCACCCAATTAATTCTGCACCTCCTTAATTTTTTCATCTCAATGATTAGGAGGAGGTCCCTTGGAATTACCATGAATATAGCTCCCATACTCCAAGCTTTGGTTTTCACCCTCGTCCTTTTGGAAAAGAAGATTTCCACCATAAAAAAAGGGAGCTGGAAGAGGAGGTGGAGGTCCCTTGTGGGGAGCTCCCCTGTGCGGGGCGCCTGAGAAGGCTCCAAAGGGGGCGCTTAGATGAGAAGCACCCATGTGGGGAGCTCCTCTGACTTGAGGTCTAGATTGTACTCTTCTTACTAGATGAGGAGCACCCATGTGAAGAGCTCCTTGATGCCCAGGGCGTGGAGCTCCTCTGACTTGAGGTCTAGGCTATGCTCTTTCTTCTAGATGAGGAGCGCCCATGTGGAGAACTCCTTGATGCCCAAGGAGCATTAGTTGTAGGATCTGTTGATTTTGGGCCACAAGTTGTTGCATGATCTCGAGCATCTGCTGCTCATTTGAGGGCATGATTGGTTGGTTGAGGAGCAACCTCATTCTCTCTTGGTGGTGGATTATCTTCAGGCTAATTCATGGATCTGTTGGTGATCGACTTTGACTCAGCAAAGGAAAGTGGTTAGGTGAGAACTGTCGTTCTCACAGACGGCGCCAAACTGATGATGCAGAAATTAGTTTGCACACCACTAGTCAAGTTGTAGTATAAAATGCAGTAAGTAGAAGGGGAGAGAGGACAAGATTTATAGTGGTTCGGTCAATATAACCTACGTCCACTTTGAATGGCTAGGTTCGCCGAAAATTTTATTATCTCCGGTGTAGAGGGAGAGCACATAATTACAAGCTTTGAGAGGGGAGGAAAGAATTATGCTCAAATATTTCTGATGCCCCCCAAGTGTCAGAGGAACTTACAATTTATAGTGGTTTGACATAGTAATTGTATGACTATTCTGACGGTCATTATGGCTTAGAACCGTTTGATAGTAATTAGATAGTTGATCCGGCGGAGACGATCTATCATCTTCTCAACGGGCGAGGTGTGACGGTTGATGTGCTCTCCAAAGGACTTGGTCAAAGATGAGGGAGGTTGACTCTCTCTAGGCTGCGAGGGTGGAGCTCCTGGATGTTCCTTGGTGGCGTAGAGTAGGTTCTTGGATGATTCTTACTCCAAGGTGGTAGATGAGGCTCTTGGATGACCTTTACTCTAAGGTAGTAGAGGAGGCTCTTGGATGACCGTGCATGCTCCCCTGTTGATGTAGCTCCTTAATCTTGATAAGGTTATCCGAGTATAGACTCTTTTGAGCTTAACTAACTAGATCTCTTGGAATTGAGCATTTAGCTCGGACCAGACTTATAACATGAGTTGAGTCTTTGGCTTGGCCCATCAAAACCCAAAAGATAGGAATGCATAGAATGCACCTCCACACTACACAAAATCAAAAACCAAAGTTTAGCATGTCCACCGCACAAAAACCAAAACTCATAGTGTATAGTGATTTTTTTTCTAAAATTATGAGGATACCATAAATAATTTTAATAAATTTGTTGGGATGTGAGTATAATTTTTCCAAAATAATAGGCGTAGAACAACAGTTCCATCCTCATCGGAAATTAATAAATCTGCAATCTAACGATACCTTTAAAGTTTGAGAAAATTTTAACCACACCCTTTTAGTTTAGTATATCTTCAAGGACATCTCTTCTATATTTTAAAACATCATTTACACTTTTTTTAATTTTATATTTAAACATCACCGACATCTCTCCTATAGTTAAACCACTGTTTCTAATAAAAAAAATCTAAAATAACAAAATTACCCCTACATAAACTTCAAATAATATTTCTACATAAAATTCGATTAAAATTTGAGTCAATTAAATTTTATTTTTTTTCATATTAAAATTCAAGCTTATTAAAATTCATTTTCACATATTAAAATTTGATCCAATTAAAATTTAATGTGAGTTAATTGAATTTTATTTTTTTACGTATTAAAATTTGAGCTTTACGTAAGTTGTTAGGGCCGATTAAAATCGCTTTGAGTCGATTAAAATTTATATTTTTTACTTATTAAAATTCATGTCGATTAAAATTTAATTTAAATTGATTTAAATTCATTTTTTACGCATTAAAATTTGAGTTGATTAAATTTTTATTTTTTTAATGTATTAAAATTTAATATAAATTGATTAAAATTTGATCAAAATGAATTTCAATTGGCTCGAATATAATTTTAATCGGCTCAAATTTTATTACTAAAAAAATATAATTTTTAATAGACTCAAATTTTAATATATAAAAAATAAATTTTAATTAGCTCGAATCGAATTTAATACATAAAAAAATTTAGAAAATAAAAAGGATCTCATTCAAGATATACCTATCTAGAAGGGATATGAATGAACTTTTTTCTAAAATATATCACAGACAATTTAGTAAAAATTGTATTATAGTTGACACATTTAATTTAATAGGGCATATTAGTGAAAATTCTGAAAATAGAATGGGCGTATTTGACAATATGATAAATTGGAAATGGTGTAACTGAAATTTTCCCTTAAAGTTTTAACAACTCAGCTGACCGACTTCGAGAAAAGTATCTAAAAAAAATCATTTAAAAGCAAAACAAAAAACTAATCCTCTCAACAATATAAAGCACCTGAAAACCCTTCTTATACTCTACTCTACTCCCTCTCTCGCTCGCGCGCCTCTTCAAGATCCACCATTCCTCTTCCCCAAGCAAGCCCTAGATTGCGCACTTGGGAGGAGGAGAGACAAAGTAGAGAGAGAAACTGAATACATTCTCTCTCTCGATCTCACCTTCCTTACTATCTCCGCAAAATACCTCGCCGATCCGAGCCAAATCCAGGTACTCATCTCTACGAACACGGATCAACCGATACGTACATCTTTATTCCTTTGTACCTCTATTTCTACGTAATATGCACTGAAACGTTAGGATTTGTATTATTCCGCTTGTCTTTCTGGCTATGGTTGTGATTTTTGGGTTTTGGTAGCTTTTCTGAAGATCGATCAGTGATGGCGGCAGCGGCGGTGCAGCAACCGGTCTCTGCTCAAGTTGTATGTGTTCATTGAGAGTCATGAGTTTCTTATTTGCACCTGTATTTCTTTTTGTTGTTAGTTATGTAGCTGGAATTTGTAATGATTTTGATGCAATACGTTGTTTGGGGTTAGGTTGGGAATGCCTTTGTCCAACAGTACTATCAGATATTGCACCACTCGCCGGGGCTCGTTTATCGATTTTATCAGGATTTCAGTAAGCTTGGTCGGCCGGAGGATGATGGCTCCATGAGCATCACAACTACAATGCAAGTAAGCCCCCTCTGTTTCTCTCACTATCTGTGTGTGTGTGCGCGCGCCTGTGCGTGCGTGTAAGTCAGTTTATGTGTTTCTTCGTTGAGCACTAAACCTAGTTGCGTCATGTTTAATCTTCCTACAATTGGTATCTGAAAACTAATTATTTTTGCTGTGTTTAGTTGTTGAGAAACCTGTAGTAACGAAAAGACAGAAATCATTGAATTTCATTTGTTTAGGGTTTTGGTGAGAAACCTGGAGTAACCAAAAGACAGAAATCATTTAAATTCATTTGTTTAGGTTTTTTAGTTCTGTATTAGGCTTAGTAGGGTGAAATTTTGTAGTTTTGGGCTTTTAAACAATTCGAAGTCCCTTCTTCAAAATTCTGATTCATCTTTGTTTTGCGCCTTTTTTAAGCAAGAAAAAGGAAGTTTGGTGAAAGTAAGAGCAGCAACAGATTCTGGGAGGCTTGCAATTCTAAAATGCCTTTTTTTTGTTTGTTTGGATGTCAATGCCTCAGGCTATCAATGATAAGATACTATCACTTAACTATGACGACTTCAGGGCAGAAATCAAATCTGTGGATGCACAAGAATCTTTTAATGGTGGAGTCCATGTCCTTGTAACTGGGTATCTGACTGGAAAGGATAATTTGATTCGCAATTTCACCCAGAGTTTCTTCCTTGCCCCCCAAGACAGAGGATACTTTGTGTTGAATGACATGTTCCGTTATGTGGAGAATTTAAATGAGGGTTTGGCTGTTGATGTGGTGGTCTCTGTAACTCCTGAGCAAAGTAATGTAGTTGCTCAGTTTATTTGATTAATTAGTGTTTGTTTCAAAAATTTAGTGGTGAAGTTTTCATTTTTATTGTTGTGGTTAGCAGATCCTTCCCCTGTCGAAGAGAATGATGTTCCCGATCAGACTGCTGTATTGGTTGAGGAGGCCAATGGGGAAGAAGTGTATGATCCCCCCAGTAATGGAGAGGTGTCACCCGTGGAAGAGGAGGTGCCAATAGCTGAGGTGGTGGATGAAGTACAGGATGATTCACAGATAGTGGTTGAATCTAGCACCAAAATTGAAGAAGTGCCAAAGAAGTCTTATGCTTCGATTGTAAGTGACCATTGAGCATGGTACTGTAAATCATTCAAAGTTTTGCTTGCTTGTAAGAACTTGGCATGCGTTTGTGTTGATGTCATGTTAGAGGTTGGCCATCTTTTCATGAATATATCTGTGGTTATGTAACTGTAGGATGCTGTCATCTGGAAACATCTGATTCTAGTTGCTAAGTATTTGAGATATTACTTACTAAAAAAGGGAAAAAAGGAAAAAAAAAAGTAGGTGGGAAGACCTGCCTTTAGATCCATTAAACAACTTTGTAATGTTGTTTAGGTTAAGGATTTGAAGGAGAGGGATGTGCCCTTTTCATTTCCGGCATTGGCTTCTCGTAAATCTCCAACAAAGAGCCAGGAGCAGCAAGTGAACCCTTCCACTCCTCCAGCCTTAGCAGCTAAAGCACCAATTTCCAGTTCAGATGCTGTCGATAATGGGAATGAGGGAGAAGGTACTGAACTCTCTATTGGTATGGTGGTAGTCCTTCAATTTCCAAATCATTTCTTGTTTCAGAGCCAATTTGTCTGATCTCTTTTTTATTTCATAGTTTACTTTATCTTTTAGTTTACTTACCTATTAGTTTATCACTTTTGGGCAGCTGATGGTTACTCAATCTACGTAAGGGGTCTGCCTATGAATGCTACAGCTGCCTTACTTGAGAATGAGTTCAAGAAATTTGGACCTATTAGGAGTAATGGAATTCAAGTTAGAAACAACAGAGTATGTGCCAAATTATTCTTTTTGTGGTTTGCTTCTAGTCTTTTTTTGTTATTGACCACTGATGGTCCTTATATTGTAGCAACAAGGATTTTGTTTTGGCTTTGTTGAATTTAAGGTGGCAAGTGCTGTGGAAAAGGCAATTGAGGTATATATCAGTTTATGCTTCATATTACTTGGCTGTTCTGGTTTTGGCTTCTTTGTGTGGATGATATGTTGGATGCTAATGTTTTTTTTCTCTTAATTGGCTTGATCCGAGTGACTAAGAAAGGAATAGAGTAAAAAAGGCCAAACTAAGAATTTCCTTCGCAGTTAAATTCTTATATGACTAATTTGTCCATGCTCTACATAAGTCTTTCTACTATTTTTAAAAAAAAAAAAAATGAAGTGGGATGATTGAGCTAGCGGTTTTCTAATTGATCTCACACATTAGATGTTTTACTGATTGGCTGCAGTCATTATATTTTCTATTATGCATACATACTTCTGGGCCTTATTTTTGTTTGCTGGGATTTTTGGTAAGTTTCGTTTGGTACATCTGCAAATATGTTCTAGTTTTGGGCTGTGTTTTAGCCTTTTAGGTTTGATAACCCACCAGCCGAGAGATTGTTTGAAGCAAAACAAGGAAAGGCCAAGGAATCTCTTATAGCATGAAGACAGACTAACTCAAACTACTAAAAATCCACCTAACATTTATTGGTAATTTTTTACTACACTTGCAAAGGAAAGGGGAGGGGAGGTAACATTTATTGGTAACAAATTGTTCTTTTGGTTTTGTTCTCCTTCAGGGAGGGGGGGAGGGGAAGGGAAGGGAAGGGATAGGGGGGTGGAGGAGAGGAATGATCATAATTAGGTATGCTTATTGTCTGTTGTTTGTAAACTTTGTATTTACCTGGTGATTGTTTACTAGCGTAATAAGTAATAACTTCAATGTTAGACCAATGTATACGAGATATACTCGACATATCAAGAAGTAGCAATTTTCCCATCTTGTTCTATACATAACGATAATGAGTTTTTTTGACATGTCAAAATACATCTATTTGTTTGTGTCCTTGTCTGGTCCATACCTTTTTTTTGTTCTTCTTTTTGGGGATTTTCCATGCCAAGTGTGTCCATATTGTGTCTTTTCCCTGTCCAAGTATGTGTATGCGCTTTATAGTTGTGGGTACTGCAAGGCAGATCTACCTTTTAAATAAAGATTTCAATAATACAATACATACTGGTTTTGGACTATGCATCTCTACCATTTGATTGCAACTGTGGTCATATCTTTGTGAGTTTCTATTATCAGTTACTCCAAGCACCATCTATTTGTGAATTGACCGAAGAAAGTGTGCATCAACTTCGAATCAACTTTGAAGTACATGAACTTGTCTTTTATTTCTTTCCATTGTGAGAAATAAGTGCTGCCAGAGGGACATTTTTGTCACCGTAGATGCAGAAACTGTGACACTGTACTCTTTTCATTCTAGCATCTTTGTCGTTAAATTTGGTTGCTTAATTGTTATGTTTACAAGTTTGTTGTAGCTCTATACTACACTTGGGTGCGTGAAAAGAGTATCTTAGATGAATCAATTTGTCTACCAGCCCCTCAATTTTTGAGTGTTTTTATTGGGGAGTAAAATTAGAGTTGAACTATGTTGTGTGTAGTAGGTGTGACGAGTTGTGTCGAGTATTAGTCAACTTTCGCTAGACATTTTTAATTAACCATGTCTGATGACCTGATACTTATCTGATGACTTGTGTTGTGTTCAGGTTGATATGCATAACCAGTGAACCAAAAACCCTAAAGCTTGGACCTAATTCTCTCTACCAAACTGTCAATCATAAGTCTTCGATAAGTTAAAGCACACATTCAAGTCTTAACAAAATTTAGTTAAAAACCCTGTAGTTCTACCCTATTTTATGTACTTTCAGATTTAGAAATGGGAAACATTAAAATTACACATTTGCATGGTACATTTTCAATTAAACAAGTTTAGTATTCAGCCAGGTTGTGCCATTTTTGTCCTATACAGTAATAGTCAACTTTGTCCTGCTAATTTTGTGTTGGGTTTGAGGTGCAAATGGGTTGTGTCAAAAATTATCACCCCTAGTACGCAATTAATAGATCTTTTGAGGCTACCTGCTTTTTTCTATGATAAATGAATCTGCTGTTTTTACAGTGAACACTGTTTCCTTTGATGTTTCAGGTTTCACCTATTACAATCAATGGGCGGCAAGTTGTTGTTGAGGAAAAGAGGTCTACCTTGCGAGGTAAGTTCAGTTTTGTTGCGGCACTTTCCTCATTTAAGATAGGAAGCTGATCATCACATGCATGCTTGTGTGTACACACCAATATTACAATATTAATAATGGTGATGTGGCAAAATCATCTAAACATCACAATTTTGATAATGCATATGATGTGATGAAGTCAATAACCAAATTTGCTTGCACAATCCTCTTACGCATATGAGAGGTGGGTTTTTTCTTTAGTTTAATTGTGTAGCCTTGTTGTACCACCCAAGGGTACCTTGGAGTATTGGTAATGTTGCTCTATTGCAACATGGGTATCAAAGATTCGAATCGCAAAAACAGTCTTTCTACATGCAGGATAAGACTGTACATTTAACTCTCTCTAGGGCCCAATAGTGGTGGAGCCTCTTCAAGTAGGCGCACTGAGTAGTAAAGGCTTGTTGATTTAGAGAAGAGGGTCTTTGGATGTCATTTTGTGCTGCATATGTTATTGTAGCCAATATACCCTGGTATTTGATGATGCTGTGGTGCCTTTACATGAATTAACTGGTGGCAGGATGATTAGTAGTTCTTCCCCTGTGCCTACTCTGCTGTTGTTCTTATTGGGAAACTATGTTTTGTAACAGAGGTCAAGTTATTATGTTTGCTGATGAAGAAAGAAAAAAGAGTTAAGTGTTTGTTCTAGAATTGAGTCTTGTTTCAGCCCCATGTGATTTCTTGTGGAATTTTTTTTTTTTGGTGTGCAGGGAATAGTAGGGGCAGGTTCCCTCCTGGAAGAGGTTTTGGATTCAGGAATGATGGAGCGAGATGGCGTGGAAACTATGGAGGTGGAAGAGGCTACAATCGAGGTGATTATGGTGGAAGGAATGAGTTTGGGAACAGGGGTAACAATCGGGGAGGATTTTCAAACCGTGGAGGTGAAGAATATCAGTGGACTGACAGCATGGGGAGTAATGGTGGAACTGCAAAAAATGTGGCACCAAGGGTATTTGCTTCTTTTTAGAGGGTGATTTTAGTAGGTTTTCTTTTATGATTGGATCTCATTTAGGTTGGCAGCTTCTGATCATTATGGATGGGCTGTCTGAAATTTTCTTAGGCATTTTTCTTACATTTTTACCCCACGTGGGTGCCGTTATAGGTGGTGGATAGTAGATGAGTGAAACAGCCTTTTGTTATGTAGCATCCTGTATTGAAAGCAAGAGCATCCAGGGAAGTCACGTGGTCATTTGTAGGAGTTTTGTATTTGGTATATTTTTGGAGACTTGTAGTTCTTTGGTACGCTGTGGAAATGAAATTGGCTGGTTTTACTATCGACCGGTGTGAATCACAACGAGAATGAGAAAATGTGAGAGCTTGTCTTATGCGCTGCCTGTAGAGTTCCTGTTATATTTTCTGAGGTGATGAATGATGATCGAAATGTCTTTGTCGGGCCGGCCCAACAGTGTTGAAAATAAAATCTGGACTTTTTAGGCCCTAAACTTTTATAATGTTTCCATAATTTTAAGTATATTAATAGTTCGTAAAAATTTTAAATCTATTAAATGTCTAAGTCTTAAAAAAAAAGCTCCAAAAACTGAAATCAAAACAAATTTAGATTTCATGGGTGGGGTTATATTTTTTTAAATTTATTTGAGAGGAAGTGTGTGAATAAATTGTTTATTTTATTAAATTTAATTTTAATAAAAAATTTTGTGATTAAATAAAAAATTCAAATGAGATTTTATTTATTTTATTAAATTATACATAATTCTTACTTTTTTTTAACTCTCTTTCCCCTATTTCTCTCTCTTCATTACTCTCTCTCTTTCCTATTTTCTCCCTCTCTCCCTGTTACTCTATCTCTCCTATTTTTTTTCTCTTTCCCATTGATGATTTATTTTTCTTTTCAAATATATAAAGATTTGATTTATTTTTTCATCTTTCTTCCCTATTTTCTCTCACCATTACTTTCACTCCTTATTTCTCTCTCTCTCTTTCTCTTTCTTTATATCAATGTTATAACAACGCAATTATATCAATCATTTATATTAATTAATTATAATTATTTTATAATACACAAAACAATTACTCATGTATTTTGATAAACCAAACAGTTACATTAAACAATTATACAAAATTATGACATTAGCCAGAGTAATGGTGAGAAAAAATAAGGGGGAGAGTGAGAGACAAAGAGAGAAAATAGAAGAGATGAAAAAAATTAAATTAAATTTTTACATATTTGAAAAAAAAATTATCAAAGGGGGAGAGAGAAAAAATAAGAGAAATAAAGAGAGGTAGAGAGACAAGAGAGAAGAGAGACAAAGAGAGCAACGAAGAGAGAGTGAAAGAGTAATGGAGTAATTAATAACATTTTAATTTTTTCCAAAAAAATGCACTCAAGATTAAATAAATTTACTTAATATAGTTTAACTTAATTTAGTCCAAAATTTTGAACCACCTTCCAAATTTCCCAACAAAATTTTTATTGTAATAATTTGATTCCATGATCTAATCCATAACTTTAAAAATCGAAAAATTAGAAGTTAAAAAAATAAAAAAAATAATCAAAAGTCAACTCATATTTATCACCACTCATTCTCTCTCGTTCAATAAAAAAAATAAAAAATTAAAATTAAAATTAAACACTTTCTAGTAAAAAATAAAAGTAAAAGTCGAAACCTCTTTCTCAAGAGAGTAATACTATTTTGACTTAAAAATTTGACCTAATTTGTTGACATAATGATGTGGTTTCAGTAGAACCATTGAATCAACACTAAGTTTCAATGTTTGATGGATTGCACAGTCAATTCAAAGGTCATAATAAATTAAGTCAATAAATTATGTCTCAATAGCATTGCTCTTGTCAAGAACAGTAACATATTCTTCTTTTGTCTCTCATATAAAAAGTTAAAAAAAAATTAAAATAAATATTTTTTTAAAAAAATTAATACTAAAAATAAAAACAAGTCTCATTTAATACTCAATCCGTTCCTAAATATCTGTCGTTTAAAATTTTTGCACAGGGATTAAAAAAATTATTAAATAACTTTAATATGAGTAAAAATTAATTATACAAGACTAAAATACACTTCTTCAATACGTATTGGGAAGAAAAAGAATATGAAAGACACTTTACCTCCACCAAATTTAATGTATTGAAAAGTTAAGGGTAAATTTAGAAGAAAAAATATTAATTATGTTTTGGTTTTATTAAACGATAGATATTTAGAAACGGAGGGAGTATTTTTTTTTTGGTTCAATAGTTAAAGGGTATTTGAGCCAGCTTACACGTATTTTGATTAATTTCCTCTCCAGTCTAATCAAAACAGACCATTCATACTTGAACTAAGATATTCATGAGGGATAAATTCATAATAATCTGGCTCGGGTTGTAACGTTTAAGTTTACAGCTCGTCCCTGTTACCGCTTGAATTACCTTTTAGAATTCTCATTTAATATTTTTGTTTTAGACCTCAAATTGCCTCGAGTCGCCTTGATGGTCATCCATGCAGTTGTTTGAGATTATTGTATAGACGAAATTGCTACAAGCTTCATAATCCCTCGAAGCAAATCGAACTGGATTCATACAAGAGGAGGCGCTCAAAACAATATGCATGTCAGTGTCGATGTAATTGAATAGTAAAACATAACTAATGTTAATGCAAATGTTCCTATTATTGAGTTTGATCGAAAACTATTCCTAGCATAGGTTTTTCAAACCCTAGCCTGTTTACCTCACAGTAAGAACCAACACCTATCCTTCGTAATTACATGGTGATGATCGATTAATAAGCTACTCCTTTCCTCATGAACTGATAAGTCTATAATCACACTTCATTCTGCTGGAACAGCAAATACGTAATTATGAGTAAAGGAATCCTCTCTCGGTTAGTAAAGGAATCCTCTCTCGGTTATCAGAAGAAAATTTATGGAAACAATATGAACATCTTTTTTGGGCTCAGCCTCGTCTCTCAAAGCTGTAGTAGGCCTTTTGTCCCCTCTTTCACAAGTTTATACTTTTGGACAAATTCAGGTACAATAAGGGGGCATGGGCATTGCAGTACAAGTTCAAATGAAAACAAGGGCATTGCAGTATAGTTAGCAACTACAAGGCAATGAGAAGAAATACTACAAAAGAGTAGTTCTACCCTACTGTGGAAAGGGCTAAAGATCTGATGGGTACATCATGGTGCTCACCGACAAAGACCCTTCTTCACCACACTTTTCACCCCCACGAAATCATGTCACCTGATACAGAGCATCACACTTCACTTGAATTGGTAGTCAGAAAGGAGGTGACATGCCATGTCCCTCACGGTACTACTTTTACTTCTCGCCGTGAGATTAGGAGTTCGAGTCATAAAATTTTTATTGAAATTTAGTGATTGACCGCTATATTAGTCTAATTAGGTTTGATCCAGTGAGGTATTTCAAACGCAGTCAAGGGCTTTATGATTCCACCGGTGAGGACCTATCGGGGTGATTGTTGGGTGCTCTTCTTTGTCCCTACCCCTTTTTCAATATCAAAAAAAAAAAAAAAAATACCATGTCAGTGTAATTTTGGGAAATAATTCCTTTGGTAACAGAACACATCGTTTGTTGGGTTTCTTTTGTGGAATCTAGTTTGTGTGCGATCTGGATGTTGACTTGACCCGAATAATGTTGCGTGATTTTTTAATGAAAATTTTATGAGACTTAGTCCATGGAACGGAAGCTTGAGCCTGTTTTGTAGCTCTGTGCGTAGGACATATATAAATTGATTATTTGGTAATTAGGGTTTGTGGATTTATTCTGTACGGCCGCCGCCCTCTCTGTATTCGTTCTTGAGAATAGTGAAACCCCTGCAGTTTCGTGGACATAAGCAAATTGTCGAACCACGTAAATTTTGTGTTGTGTGATTGTTTGGATTGCATTCGTATCGTTCTTTGATTTAATTTCACTTTATTGTCATCGTTTTATTTCATAATAATTGGTATCAGAGCCAAGGTTCGGGTCTAAAATAAACAATGGCTGGAGAAAAAGTGAAGACATCTGGGATTGAGAAGTTCGATGTCACATATTATGGGTACTGGAGGATGCAGATAGAGGACTACCTCTATTGGAAGAAACTTCATCTTCCACTATTAGGGACGAAACCAGAGAACATGAAGGATGAAGACTGGAAACTGTTAGACCGACAGGTTCTGGGGGTTATTCGGTTGACCTTTTCAAGATCAGTTGCACACAACGTTACCAAGGAAAGGACCACTGTAGATCTCATGGCGGCTTTGTCAAGTATGTATGAAAAGTCTTCTGTGAATAATGAGGTGCATCTGATGAAAAAATTATCCAATTTGAGGATGACAGATGGTACGTCTGTTACCCAACACTTGAATGAGTTCAATACCATTACCAATTAATTATCATCTGTTGAAATTGAATTTGATAATGAGATTCGGGCTTTGATATTGCTGGCATCACTGCCAAATAGTTGGGAATCCAAGAGGATGGTTGTTAGTAATTTTGCTGCTAAGATGAAACTTAAATACAATGATATTTGTGATTAATTTTGGCTGAGGAGGTGCGCAGATGAGATTTTGGTGAGACCTCGGGATCGAGTTCTGCTTTGAATGTTAACACTCGTGGAAGGTCATATGACAAAAACTACTCAAATAGAAGAAGATCCAAATCAAAGAATAAGGACAAGAGTAAGTCAAAAACTGGACAATAACAGACAACTTATTGGAATTGTGGCAAAACTGGCCATATAAAGAAGAATTGCAAAAATTTGAAATAGACAGAAGACGATGGTGCGAATGCAGTGGTTGAAGAAGTGCAAGGCACATTATTACTTGCCGTTCATAGTCTATTTCATGACTGGATACTGAATTCAGGGGCATCTTTTCATACCTCCCCTCATCGAGAAATCATGCGGAATTATGTTGCTGGTGATTTCGAGAAAGTGTACCTGGCTGACAGATAGACACTGAACGTAGTGGGGGATAGGAGATGTTGATATTACACTTCCTAATAGGAACGTGTGGACCTTGTAGAAAGTTAGGCACATTCCTGAGTTGAAGAAGAATCTTATCTCTGTGGGACAGCTCGACGACAATGATCACTTAGTAGTGTTCTCAAATAGCACCTGGAAAGTTTCTAAAGGAGCATTGGTGCTGGCCTGGGGTAACAAGACTGACACTTTGTACATGACAAACGGTTCCAGTGATACTATTGCCACCACCACTGTAGAGAGTGCTGTAGAGTTGTGGCATTGCAAACTTGGTCATATGAGTCAGAAAGGCATGAAGGAACGCATGTCAAAAGGCAAGCTACCATAACTGAAAACAATTGATTTGGGCATATGTGAGAGCTGTATACTTGGAAAGCAGAA